AGCAACTGACACTGGACTAAGTCCTGTTCACTCTCATTAGCTCACTTGTGGCTTGATCCTTCCAGTTATTCTAACACTTTGAGACCCATGCCAATGCCTAGCTTCAGGCCATGAGCCCAGCCAACTTAGGCTGAGCCCAGCCGGGCCTTGAGGTAGGGCCCATGGAGGCTCAAGGCTCAAGGTGCATTCAAGCCTGAGCTAGGCCTTTGAGCCCTGGCTTTCAACTTTTACAGAAATGGCTGTAACTGGTAGAAAAATAAACTAGTATTGTAAATTTGATGGTTTATATCTGGCCAGCTATATAGTTTATCTGCCTCCCTACCATCATACTGGGTCCCTCCTGCTTTATTTTGCCAAACACCCAGACCACCAATTTGTAAATGGTGCTGTACATCAATTCTGATGCTAAGGAAGCATGTACCCCATGTCCTAAATGGGTTCCTGTGCCATCAGCAAAGGTAATCAGTGTGGGCAACACTGCTGACCAGGAGCTTTCTTTACACAGAAGGGCTCATATCACAAGTTGTGCCATAGCTAATACTCCAGCATAGCCTATTATCTCTCCACCTTCCTGTGTTGGTTCTTGTAGCCATTTGTTGGACTCTCACACTGGCTTGGATGCCAATGACAGTGAAATTGAGCTGATTAGTAGCAGCCATCCCAATAAACAGCTTGTCAAAGGTAAGCTTCTCTGTTGTTCATATGTGTAGTACTGAATCAAACACAATCATTCATGTTATAGGACAAAAATGTGCACATAGTCTTGATGCCAAGGACCTTGATCATGTGCAATCCACTGACCTTGACAACAAACTAGATCCACCGGTGTCATGAATGCATCTTCCATACCCTAAAATTCAATCCTTGAACATCCTAAGTCACCTCCAATAAGATCACTATCTTCAATCACATTTATCATCTCAAACCCCTATGTCATCCTTCCATATATGTAGCCCTAGACATCTGACATCATCACATCCTTAGCAAGACCTACAATTAGGCAACCTTAGAAGACAAGTGCCCACACTTCTGTCATATGTTATATCCCTACATCAGAACCTGTTGCACGTCACAGCTAGGGGGTCCTAGGGGCAGAGGTTGGATGAGAGGCTTCCCACAGGAGGTTCTAGAGCCTTAGTCAGCAGGAACAAGCATCTAGCAGCATACTTGTTCATAGACAGATCATCACTTAGGCTACTTTGTCATTGATATAGGCTTAGCCTGCTGGCCCCAGTTGTTACAAGAGTGCTGGCACCCTACTTCATTTTCCCTTTATCACATGACCACTTATTCTGCTTACTCACTTTTACCGATATTCACATGTCAATGCACATGAATGCTTCCATAACATTCTATGCCATTCTATCGTACAATTTTCTTTTCCCTTTTCTGTACTTTTACCTGTTATGCCTTCCTTTCTCGGCTTGGTCTGTGCACACTTGTTTACCTATATAAACTGTCGTCTACTCTGTACTTTTCTCCTTAACTTGAATCTACTAGGTTTTACCTGATAGAACCATCGATCCAATCTAGCGAGTCTTTGAACCTCGACTAGTCTTTGAATTCACTTGATCTGATGAGCCCCTTGAAACTCAATCAGCCTTTGAACTCTTGAACACCATTACCTTGAACATCCTTTATTGGATCGTAACGGAAGAACTATCCTAGTCATAACAAAAGATTCAAGTTCCCTCTTGCGCTTTACTAGTCAAGTATCGCTGAACCCTTGAACCCAGAATGAGTAGCCAACATTTTGTGGTGATGCAGACCAGAACCAGTAGACTCCTTGACGTCCGAAGGATCCTCTACACCAGAAACCGCATGAAGCTCTCCAGCTTTATGAGCCCAGAACCCCTCATCAATTTCTCCCGCCCTAGCAGCATTCTCACTTGCACCACCACCTAACTTCCCTCCCCTCCCACCTTGAATGCCACCTGCTCCTCCTCCTGCCATGACCACTACTACCAAAGAAACAGGATTGAAGATAGGAACCTCTGACTTCAATGGAGACAGAGAAGAATCCAACCGATGGCTACTCCAAACCACTGCATACCTCAATATCAATGACACAATCTATGATTCTCATAAAAAGAAAATCATCTTTGCCCTCTCGCATATGACAGAAGGCACAGCCGCCACATGGGCAGAAACCTTCTTAGAACTCGCCCAAGATCCCACTCATGTTGCTACTGGTGGTCAGCAGATCAGATATGGAACATGGGAAAACTTTGTCAAGGACTTCAAGAAAGCCTTCACTCCCCTTGACCTTACTGCCACAGCCATTAATAAACTCCAAACCCTGAAACAAGGAACTGATTTTGCTGAATACCTTTCCAGTTTCGACCAGTACATCGGATGTGCAGGAATCACTAGAGATGCTGCCAAAATCCAATTCTTCATTGATGGCCTCCACCCTGGCCTCGTCTCTCACCTCTATAATACACAAGAGGTTCCCACAGACTTTGACAAGCTTGTTGAGAAATGTACTAATCTCGACAATGCTAGACTCCACCTCAATGCTATTAGAGGACAAATGAACACCAATCCACAGAAGAAGAAGAATTATGGATCCAACCATTACGTACCTTCCAGAGACCCTAACACTATGGAGGTAGACAGTCTCTCTGACGCTGACAGAAAGGAGTACATGCGCACTGGGAAGTGCTTCAGGTGTGCCAAAATGGGTCATCAACCTAACGACCCTGCCTTTCACCCTTGAGGAGATGCCGGAAGAAATGATAGGAAAGTGCCGGTAAGGTGCAGAGCGCCTAAAGAAGAAGATGACGATGAAGATGCTGAAGAAACCAGGAGAATGGATTTTTGGAAAGAAGGACTGTTACGACGTCAGTACCTTCTATTTCGATATGCCTTGTACAAACTATTGGAGAAAGAAAAGAATTTCAGGTACCGGCTACCCTCATCTCTACCAAGCATGCCCAAACCGTTGAAACCACTGTTGTAGTTGACTACAGTGCAGCTGGAACCTTTATCAGCTGGGAACTAGTCAAAGAACACAAAATCCTGATCCATCCTCTCTCAAAACCCTTTCTGATCAAACTCACTGATGGCTCACTCTCCAAAGATGGTCCAGTCTCTCATTATTGCGTTCTTGGGATCAAAATCGATCAATGAACCATGATAGGGAAATTCAACGTCACCCAACTTGGACAAAGAGACAAAATCCTTCTTGGAAATTCTCTCCATGCTGCAGAACTTGTGTCCCTCCAGCAAAACCCCTTAGAAGTCATAGCTACCTTCACCAGCTTATCCCAGTATTGTGTCAGTGTGCACAGCATAGCTACCAGCATCTCTGAATATATGAACCAGCCCAATCCTACCACTCCTTTCAGAACACATAACTGTGAGGATCTATCCAATGATAATAATCCAAATGACCTTCCTGGGACCTCTGGTGGACCACCTGATGATAAAGGTGGTGACACAGAAGATGATGATAAAGGTAATGATCTTGACCTCCAGGACAGGGTCTTTCTCTGCTTGTCCAAGGCAATTAACAACCTTGCTTAGAATAGCTGTTGTTCCTCCACTCTTGAAGATTCCAAAGCCAAGGTCCAAGAACTGGACACTTTTGATAATACTGAGTCTCAGAAGCTCTATGCTTTCCAAATCTAGTGTAAGCTCAACTTTCAGAGCTGTCCTAAGACTTTCTGCTCTGACCATGTAAAGGTCACTTTTGCCCAGTTCTATCTAAAGAGCATGGCCCTTGAATTATTTAAACCAGATTTCCTATCTGACTCCTTCAATGACTGTCTTAACTGGATGGATGACTACTCCACTTTCATGCTAGAGCTACAGACTAACTTTAGTTTCCCATGATCCAGTAGAGGATGCCAAGATGCAGCTCAAGCAACTTCATATGTGCAATGAGCAGTATATCAATAAATATGTTATTGAATTCCAGAGGCTTACCTCTTAAGTTTGCAGCTGGGGCAACAGAGCCCTGTATCATTAGTGTTGGTTATGGTGATTGGGCACCTTATGGTGCGAGTTATTTACCTTATGATGATGCTTACTCTATTGGACTCTTAGTTAGTATATTGTGTGACTCACTTACTTGATTAGGCATTGTTTACACTTATTTACATAGACTCGCCCATAGGTAGCCAGTCCTGTGTTGATTGCTCTTTAGCAACTGACACTGGACTAAGGTACAGTACACTCATTAGTATACACAACTGAATAGCAACTGACACTGGACTAAGTCCTGTTCACTCTCATTAGCTCACTTGTGGCTTGATCCTTCCAGTTATTCTAATAATTAGTTCTATAATGGGCTACTGGCACCTAATCACATTCTACCCCCGAATAACGAAGCTCCCACCCATTTGTTCGGGCTGGGCGCCAGCCACACTGACCCACCTAATCATAATCCACTCCCGAGTAATGAGGTTACCACTCATTTTTTCGGGCTGCCAGGCGCCGGCCACGATCAATTCCAACTGCTCCCTGACCCTGCACTTGACTCTGTTGACCTAAAGCTCAACCGGAGGTTTAGACAGGCAGGGCGCAAGCATGCAGAGTATATCCGAAATGCGATAGTCCATCATTCCATACTTATGATACCCCGTTCACCATTGCCGTTCATACCAGCGGACACACAACTGCACGATTTGCCATTGCAGTTAGTTGAACAAGTCAAGGGAAGCCTACTACCTTTTCAGAGTTCAACACCCTAGCCTGAACTATTGATGTATGGTGCTGGGAACACAAGGGAGAAATCTCCTGAAAAACTGAAAGGCTAACAGCTAAGCAGCATCAGAGAAGGCTTGACAACAAGCTCTGCCTCTTCTGTGGTAGATCTGGTTATATCACTCAGTGTTAGTTGATAATTCATGCCCACTTAACAAGTTCTTGACTCATGGTGTGTGTTATGCTATGTACTAATGTAAGACATAGCTAATCCTGACATGATACACTTTGTGGTAAGACATCCAGTGGTCACATGTAGTCAAGAGGCTTAGTGCTTCAGTGATACCTAAGGCCCAGTAGCTTAGTGGCTAAAGCTTTTGGTGCATCTCCAGAAGGTCCTAAATTCAAACCTCAGTCTGGCCATCTTTTATCTCAATTATTGTGATACTCAGGACTGTACAAAGTCCACCTCTCACATAGTCAAAGCCCATGCTACTACCGTACCTTGATAATGTATGTGAAAGGAGAGACCCTATACATCTATTTCCACTAATTAAGGTTCATAAATGGCTGGATTACATCATCACCAATAGGCTGTTAGTATGGGTTATGTCAGAAAGTAATAAAAGCCCTACATTAGGGCTTGAATCTGAGATATGTATCATGGGAAACTGATATCATAATGAAGATATGATAATTCTGTTCTTGTGATTTATTGAGACATTTATTTGAGTATAAGCACAACCAATACAATCTCTATAATGCTAGTATTTGGTATTTCCTCCTTGTGCTCTAATTACTGCTGCCACTCTTCTAGGCATACTCTCTATTAATTTCTGGTATTCCTTCTTAGAAATATTCTCCCATTCTGCTGTAACTCTCTCTCATAGCTGAAATAGCTCCTATGGAGGATCTTGATAGGCTGCAAGCAATCTCTTGAGTAATTCCCAGAGATGTTCAATAGGGTTGAGGTCTGGGGACTGTGCTGGCCATGATAGAACAGTAATATTATGGTCTTAAAACCTATATTTGATTCGTTTTGGGGATTTGATGCCTGAAAACTACACCAAGAAAGTAGAAACCTAACAGCTTTCCTCATCCCTTTAGGATTACTTCATATTACTTCATTCTCTATTGGTTTTCCCAATTCACCCATAGAATTTCAAAAGTATATGACATTTGTGTTACAAAATGAAATCCCTATGAAAGCTAATATTTTCATTGATGATCTGTCTATCAAAGGTCCAACAACCATATACCCTGATGAAAATGGAAATATATTGGTTCTTACAGAAAATCCAGGCATTTGCAAATTTATATGGTTGCATGCCTTAGATGTTCACCAAATTATGCATTGAGTGACGGTAGCTGGAGCTACCTTCTCTGCCTCAAAAATCCAATTATGCCTCCCCAAAGTTTTGATTGTAAGCCAGATCTGTACTCCAGAAGGCTACATTCCTGATAAAATGAAAGTAGATAAGATCCTTAATTGGCCCAATCTGACTACTGCTAAAGAAGCTAGAGCATTTTTAGGCTTATGTGAAACTATCCATATATGGATCCTAGGATATTCCACATTAGCTAGACCCTTGACCAAGTTATGGAGAAAAGATATAGAATTCATTTGGGATAAGAGATGAAAGAATGTGTTCAAAGAACTTAAGAAGCTAGTAGCCTCAGCCCCTGCTTTGAGATCAATTAACTATACTTTGGATTTATCTATTTTTTTTATCAGTAGACTCTAGCTATATTGCAGCTGGGATTATGTTATCCCAGATAGATGAGAATAGACAAAGAAGACCTGCTAGATATGGTTCTTCACCTTTCAATGATATTGAAGCCACTATTTGCAACCAAAGCTAGAATTATATGGACTCTGTTGAGCCCTTCATCATTTCCACCTTCACATCATAGGGTTAAAGATACTTCATGTGAAAGTTGATGTCAAGTACATCAAGAGAATAATGAAATATTCTGACCTTCAGCCTAGTGCAGCTATCAATAGATGGATCCAAGGTATTATTCTATTTGATTTCAAACTTATCCATGTCCCTGCCACCAAGTTTAAAGGTCCTGATGCATTGTCACAAAGAACCTTAGGAGATGAAGAGATTATTGATCTCTAGGATGATCTTGGTTAGATAAAATTGCCTTGAGCCCACATATGAATATCAGATTCTGTAAAACATAGACCAGGCAATATTAGTGAACCCCTATCTTATGTATTCATTGGAACTGCATTTCAAAAAAGAAACTTACATAATATAAATAAATTCCTAACCACCTTAGAAGCACCATTATTTATAAGTATTTCTGCAAAGAAATGATTTCTTAAGAATGTTGTTAAGTTTTTCATCCAAGAAGGAAAGATGTGTAAAAGAATAATAGATAAGCCACCATTTTTGATACTCCTCAACCCCAAGAAACATGTGATCATATTAAATCAGGCCCATGAAAATTTGCTACAGATTCTTTTGGCTTTATTTGTTCACTGATTAGTATGCCATCACGTATATTCATGCAAAAAATGCACATTCCCATTACAATATCTACCCCTTCAATAATCTTTATCAAAGTATATATTGACATTATGTATATGCCACCTACTCAAGGATATAAATATATTATATCGGCAAAAGATGATTTATCTCACTATGTAGAAGGATATGCATGAGGGAATCCAACAGCCAAGGCCCTTAGCAAAATATTTGTATTATTGCTATGGAGCCATTGGACAAGTAACTACTGATAATGAACATGAAGTCCAAGGCACATTTGCAGCCTTTATGCAGAAAGTTAATATTCCCCATGTCACAATTTTAGTTTATTAAGCACCTCGGCCACTTCAATCGAGACTCCACTCTTCTTATGAGGAGTGACCTGTGCTAGTGGCATCGCTGTGATGTTCTTGATGAGCTTTGCGATCGCATCCCTATCAGCTTTCTCTAATGCAGTCCTCTGCAAAGTCTCCACCTGCTTCTTCTGGGTGTCCTTGTCCATCATCAGCTCGACATTGTCCGATGGCTAGGGCACATTGATCCCATCCCAATACTTCCACCTGTTGGGATTAGCCAGTGACCCACCCATTGCAGGTATCAGTTTCAAACGAAATTGGTGAGCGGTCATACTTTCTTGCAGCTTCGCTCGCAGACTCCACGTCAATGCATCACCCAGCACTTCCAGTCGGTATTTTGCTGCAAACTCCATCTCCATGATGATCCCTTGGATCAACAGCATCGCCTCTCACGGCACGTGCTTCTTGATGCCATGGTGTTGCCAGTCCCATCTGGTCACCATCATTGCCTGCATCCCAGTCTTTCCCATTGATGATGCTGGCATATTGACAGTTCCTTTCCCCAGGTACTTCTTCACTGCTTCATACAGTGTCTTTGCATGTCCCTACATCGACTCCGGCACCTCTTTCACTTCTCCTGGAACTCATCTTTCATCATAGGTCTTTTCCCCATCATATCCTACATCCTGATCATTGACATGCAGTTGTGCAATTGCAGCACCATGTTCGACCTTCCTTCCCATAAAACGGACCATATCTGCACGTCCGGAGTTCGTAAGTCTTCTCTCTATTTCGATTTCAACTCACCACTTCAACAGCCTGATTCTTTTGTATTCCCCTGTCCTGCTCGATGCTGCAAAACAATGCTTCTGTGTGGTCATCCACAGCATGCATATTTGGGACATTGACCTTCATCATATCTAGCAGAGGCTCGAACCATTGAGAGCTCTGACTCTATCATAAGTCTCTTTCCCTCCTGTTGAACTCCTTAGCATGCACCTCTGTATATCCCTCCTTCACTGATGTCAATTCTTTCTACACCCTATTGAGGTCATCAGTGGCATTGGCGCATGCTCCGGTGAGATCTGCGTCAAGCAAACCATGATCCGCACTAACACACTGTCCAGCTATTTCTTCTCCTCCGCAGGTCATTCCATATGGGTCAAAAATCCTGGCCGAAGCACCTCCACCGCATCCTTGCAATACTGATGGAGGGCCATATTGTAGTCAGTATTTACCATTCCCAACACTCCTTTGTAAGTGTGGAAACACTTTACTGCCTGCTCATTGATGTCTTCCATGTAGGAAATGAATAATTTCGCGTTGCCGGGCGCACCGGCCAGGATTTGCTTGTGCAAGAGTTCCAGCGTTTTCATTGCTGTTACCCCTTCCTCATCATTGCACTTGGATGAATCAACCAATGCAGATACTATCTGGTAGGTCAGAAAATTGTCCTTGAATGCAAGCAATCAATATAACTTGATGCTCCTTAACATAAATATCGTATGTATCTGTTGCATTGGCAGGTAAATTTCGTGAACCATCCATAAGTATATTGCTCACCCCCATCATGACCTCCATCGCCTGGTACAGCCAACATACTGTCAGCTCGTGCTGGTTGCGAAAATGCCATCACAAGGGCAGCATGTCTTGCATCAGGGTGAATATTAACCAAGTGTTCTTCAATATCTTCATAAGCTTCGAATTCTTCTCTTGCATGGGTTTGAAATATTTGGCCTCTAACACTTTCATTGCCCCAGCATCTCTACTCTTGTCCTCATCTCTTTTTTGACACTGACTGGGTGTTGATGCTCATAGAGTCCTCCTAGCAACCATCCATGATAAAGGGAATCAGTCATGCCCTCGCTGTCTGACTCCAAAGTCAATGTTCAACCACATTGGACTTTTGCATGACATCTCACAAAGAATTAACAAGCTACACATGTATGTTACTGAGAAAGTGGCCAAAGCCCGCAATGCAATATATATGCATGGTGCTCCCATCAAGGGAGCCTTAGTTGAGAGTATCCTGAAAGATATTTCATTGGTGCCTACTGTTGTAAGTGTGATGCTTGCTCTCACAATGTGGAACTGACATTTCTCCACAATAGCTTTGTAGATCACCTCTCACTATTTGGTTTTAACCTTTTCCTCACCCTTGTGGCCGATTTGCTGCATGAATTTGAATTTGGAATATTGAAAGCAGTAATGATACATTTGATGTGGCTACTCTTTGCAGTTGACCCATGGAAGATTTTCATCCTCAATGAAAGGTATGGTGTTCTTTTGACTCTGATCAATTCTTATCTTCGATACCCCTGCACACCAGGTTTCAGTTAATACCTTCCTTTGGGAAAGGTTCCACTCAACAGTTCCCCAAGAATGTTTCATCAATGAAACAGTGAGCAGCTTGATATCTGGAAGATATGCTGCAGGTAAGTCTCTACTATCTCATGCATGACTCAGATGTATTCTGACCAACTTATTTATTCCAGTGTGCAATGCCAGCTTTTGAGGGGCTTTTTCCAGAAGAGCACAATAATGTCATCAGGGTCCTCCTGTTTTGCATGGCAGAATGGCATGCCCTTGTGAAGATGCACCTTCATTCTGATGACACCCTGAAATTGCT